GGGACGCGAAGTGGGGCGGGCCCGGCGGGCGGGAGGACCCCCAGCCCCCCGGGACGGGGCATTCTGGGTCGGGCGACTCGGGGCCCGAGGGGACAGCTTCGTGCAGACGACGGGACGCGCCGGGAAAGGGGAAGGGCCCGTCTTGATTTTCCTGGGAGTCTTGTCGGAGAGATGTCCCCGGACCCCCAGCTGCCCCCAGCCCCCCCACGGTGCCCGGAGCTCCGGGTCTGGGGTGAGCGCTGGCGCCGCGGACCCTCGCGCCTTCCGAGGTGGCCCCGTTTCCGCGGATTTGCCCCCTGGCGGAGGGGAGGCCGTGTCCCGGGCCGGGGGCCCCTCCCAGGGGCTGGAGCCCCGCTCCCCGCCGCCCCCCCAGGCTGGCTGTGGATGCTGCAGGCTGTGGCTCCTGCACCCAGCCGCCTCCTTTGTTCCTTTTGTGAAACCTCCAAATATGTGCTCCTGGCTCCTCAGTGTCACCGTAGCTGGGGACAACCCCCAAGAGTTTTTCTCTGTTCTTTTTTTCTGGATTTAAACAATCCTGTCTTTTGCATCCATTGGGGATAATATTTTCAGGATTTAACACTTAAAAAGGTAAATATGGTGTTTAGAAGTCTACACAGTTGTAAAACACAACCTAAAATATCAAACCAGTATCCATCCTCACCACCTTGCTGCTGCTTAAAACCACCCTGGCCACAGCCACAGCCACCGCCAGGGCCAGGGGTGAGCACATTCTGTTCCCAGCAAAGTACATCTGCATTTACTGTGTCAGTCCCTGGGGAGGAGGTCTGGCTTGGGCTTGGTTGTTTTTGTGGGCATGTTGGTGATGGCCATGGGGACGGGGGCTATTCCTGTGGGGGGCCCTTCCCTTCCAGACCATTCCTTTGCTGCCTGGTGGGCCCTCTGAGAGGTGGGCCGATGCCCAGCTGTATTGTCTGTTGGGCAGGGGCAGGGCAGGAGTGGGGCTGGCACAGGTCTTCCAGGTCAGGAAAGGAAGATCGGCTGGTCTCATCTGTGCACCTGGGCCTCCAGGTGCACTGATGGCCCAGGAGAGCCTCGCAGGAGGGCTGGGCTGCCTCCGGCCTCAGCTTCTGAGTTCCCTGTCCCCGTCTAGGCATCGCCCCTGCCGGGCTAGCACAGCCTGGTCCCGCTGCCCCCCCTCACCCCAGGGTGGTGGCCTGTGTGCCAGGAACACCGTGCCTGAGGCAGTCCTGTCAGGTGGCCCCCTCCTTCAGCCGGGCCCTCTTTCTCCCTCGGCCTGTTCCATTCCAGGACCCCCTGGCACAGTTGGCTTGGAGTTCAGGCAGGCAGGTCCCCCTGGCCAACCAACGGGGTAGCCTAGGCAGCTGAAAGGTAATGAGCCTCCCATCTCTGAGCAGGTTCAGATAAAGGGGGCAACTGGCAGGGATGACCCAGAGATAGGAATTCTAGCAGGACTGAGGGTTGGTCTCAAAGATTTCTGAGATCAGAGGTGAGGACACTGAGTCTCAGAGAGTTACAGACGGGACGTGCCCAAGGGTACTGGGCTAAAGGCCCACAGCCCTCTGGATGCTCCTGGCAGGGCCCCCTGCTCTGCCTGCTGGAGCCAGACGTCTCTCAGACAAGACCTCTGAACCCAGCAGCGGCAACGTGCTGCTCACAGCCAGGGTTCAGGGAGGTGATGTCACCTGTCCTGACGTGAGTGGAATGCTGACTGCCCAGCTCTGGTCTGTGTGTGCCACTCTGCTGATGTCACGAGGTAATTGCCACTATTATCCCACTTGACAGGTGTGGAAATGGAGGCACAGGGAGTTCAGGGACTAGCCTGGTAGTGGCAGGTACAGATTGAGCTCCGGCCGAAGGAATGCTGACTGGTCCCCACGGGGCTGAGGTTCCCTGGAGTCCCCCTGAGATGTAGGCGAGGACACTGAGCTTCCAGTGGCCAGGTGTGTGCTCAAGGTCGCAGCTAGTCAGGCATGGCTGGGATGTCAGACAGACAGCATGTCGGGGACGGCGCCCCCTGGGGTGGGCACCCAGGCCGTCATGCTCAGCACGACCTTCGTCTGTGTGGAAGGAGGGAGGAGGGACAGCAGGAGCGTGGGCACAGGGGATGTGGTCCTGGTGGTCGTTTTCCAGTGACACACAGCATGGGCCACTTTCCCCTTGAGACGGGTCCCAGGGTCCCAGCTTAGCCTGAGAGCCCTTCCAGCCGCCTGCCCGGGGTTGACCATCCGACTGGAAGGGATTTTCCCGGCTCCTGCCCTGGGAGTGGGGGCTTGGGGATCAGGGACGTGTGACACCCGACACTGCTCCTGATGCCCCCTCACCCGTCAGGGTCAGAAGTAAGGGTCCCTGGCAACAGGGCGTGGTGAGGGCGGGCAGGTGAGCAAACTGAGCGCCCGAGGGGGTTAGGGCTTCCTCCGAGGCTGGCGTGGGAGTGGGGAAGGGTTTGCGTGGGATGAGGCAGGACAGATTTCGTGGCTGTAAAGACATATGTCCGCCTCAGTAGAGAGGATGGTGGGGTCAGACAGGGACGGACCCAAGATCGGATTCCTTGAAGGCTGGTGCCCGCCGCTCGCTAATCCTGGAGGGGAAGAGCCGCTCAGACCTCCTCTCGAGTTACCTGGGGCTCCCCCTAAGGATGAGCACAGACCAGAGGCCCCTGCACCCCCGGGCCAGGGAAGGGCTCCGGGTGGACGGGCTCTGCGTCCGGAGCCAGGAGCGCTGAGTCCTGGCAGCCGCGCCCACTGCTGTGTGGCCTCGGCCGGTGCTCACCCCCCTGCCCCTCAGTTGACCACACGCCCCTCCCGGGCCGCTGTCAGGATCCTTAATGGTAATTCCTCTGCGAGTCGGGCACCAAGGAGATTGCCGTCAGTGGTGGCTGTCCCGTTGTTGTGAAGCGCTTCCCGACGAGGTGGCGACTGGCCCCGAGCGCCCTCCCGCGCGCCCTCTGGGCAGTGCGCCTGGCTGCCCACTGACCGGGCGTTTGCTTCTGTTTCCTGGGCAAGGTGGTTGTGAAAACTAAGACTGACTATGAACCTGACCGCAAGAAGGGCAAGGGGCGCGTCCACAAGATAGCCGAGTTCACCGTCAGCGTCACCGAGAGCATGTCCGAGAGGTTCAAGGTGAGTGGCCCTGGGGGCGGGCGAGGTGCTGCTGGACCTCGGGAGGGGTCCTGAGCCCCGGAGATGACCTGGGCAGGGCCTGGGACAGGATGGGACACCACTGGTCTGGGCTAATCCCAGCTGTGCCAAACCATCTGGTGGTTTGAAAAACGTCTTCACTTCCTCGTGTTCCCAAATGATCACGTATTACGTAGTTTGAACAACAGGGGAACCCACCCCTAAACTTTTAGACAAAGGTCATAAACACGAAAACCATGAGCAAATGTGAGAATCTTGACCTCACAGTCCCAGGAAGGAAACAGACAGTGTCAGAGGGTAATTGTCACCCTTACTACCTGCGTGACACAGGTCTGTGCCCCTTACTAGCGTCCGTTCACCTACCCAATCCCCCCATCAGGGCGGTGCTGCCAGCATGACCCATTTTGCAGATGCATAAGTTGAGGCACAGAGTGGTCACAGCTCTATTCAGCAGGGCCTGGGTCCACAGCCCTTGTGTCCGCCCTCTCAGTGCCACCCCCAACACTGCGTGGAGGGCGAGGCTTGGCTGGCCGTCCGGATGTGCCCACTTCGGGGAGGGAGGCATTGCTCTGGAGGGTTTTTTGCGGAGGCACAGCTGCTGAACGGTGGGTCCTCACTGGGCTGGGGTGCTCTGAGGGTGCAGACCGCTGTGCTGCTTGAGGAACAGGTTAGGGTTCTGACCTTCTGGAAACTTGCTCTTTGGGAGAGGTAGTGAAACGGTGGCCATCACCCAGGCTGAAAGGAGCGCCAGGCCCTAAGAGCGGCCTTGGTGGCTCTCGTGGATGTGGACGGGCGAGCTCTCTGCTCATGCTGGGTGCACCCGCACCTGCAGTGTCCACGTGCTTGCACACGGAGCCCTGTCCCAGCTCCACAGCAGCCCTGGGGGTTGGTTAGTAGGTGAGAGCGAAGCCCGAGGAGGTGGGGAGCTTTGTGGGTGAGTGGGGAAGCCAGGGCGCAATCTTCAATCCCCCCCGCTTCCCGTTGCTCCACGCCACCCCGCGGTGCTGGAGAAAATCCCCTCGGAGGCCTGCTGGCCCACGGGCCCCATCAGGGTCGCCGGGGGAGGGGGTGTTTCCTCACGTTAGCTTCTCTCAGCCTCCTACAGCCCTCCCCGGGCTAAGTGCCGTTAGTTCCGTCCATTCTGCAGACGGGGAAGCTGGGGCACACAGCGGTCTGCGGCTGAGGTTCCTGCTGGGGGTCTAAGGAGGGCATCGGGGTGATGCCCTGACAGCTGCTGGCTTGGCTGTGATGGTCACCCATGGCCGGGACCAGGTGACATTGAGCCGAGGTCAGCACCCCTCTTTCCCTCTGGCCAGTCGGCTCAGCCTCACCTCCTGCTCCGGCTGTGCCCTGGGATGTCTCCTGGTTGAGGCAGAAGTGACCTCAATTTGAAGGTCACAACAGCCACCACTCCCATGGTGGGACACCACCTGGATACCTGAATCGGTCTGGGGTTCCCATCCCTGGTTTGACTATTGCCCCTCCCAGGGCTGCGTGTTAGGTCCACAGGGCAGGGCACATGGGGAACTTGGGTGGCTACCCCTTCATCTGGTGACTGTCCCCTGGGCGCCAAGTGGTCCCCTAGCTCTGTGTCCTTCACTTGTGCTTTTCCTGACATTCACCTGGTGCAGGTCCCCAGGTCTCTTGTTTGGGGCATAGGTGACGCACCTGCACCACCAGGGCTCTCTGCAGCCACAGCTGGGCCTCTGGGTGGTTACCTGGCTCTTGTTGCCCAGAGTCTGGGCTCAGAAGGCCTGTGCCTGTCCCAGGGGACCCCCTGTGGTGGTAGAACCTGCCCCCTCTGCTCCCACCTCTGGGGCGTTAAGGAGGCGATGTGTGTGGTCGGTGCAGGGAGCCCTGCCTCGCCTGTGAGCAGTCCAGGCGTGTTCAGGCGCTCCGCCCCTGCAGCCCCTTACGATTCACAGCCACCCTGAGGGGGTGTCTCTAGCCCCTTTCACAGATGAAGCTGTTGAGTCCCAGGTGGTCCCTGGCAGGGGGCTGGGCTGCTCCCCACAACTCCCTGCCTGCAAGGCCAGGACCTGCCCACCAACCTCCTGCCACACACGCCTCCCCATGGGCCTCACCTTCCAACTCCCACACCCCACACATCTCCAGGGCCAGCTTAGGTACCACCTCCTCCAGGAAGCCTCTGGGATTAAGCCCAGCCTCTGCTGTTCCCACTGCCCCTTGTAGTGAAGCAGTAACACCATCTAAGGTTTATGGAGCTCTCCCATGAACCACACTCTGGGTCGTTTGCTAACGTATTACTTCACTCAATCCTCATAAAAACCTCCTGAAGTGTGCACCGTTCCCTCAGTGGAGGGAAACTGAGGCAGAAAGACTGAACCCAGGCAGCCTGCCCTTGGCTGGGACACCTGAGGTCACAAGCTTCTGCTGGAGCTTGAGTTCACACAGGGGCTCCCACCCCAGGCCGCCCTGTGGGCTGACTGTTCCACTCTAGGAACCCTTCCCCTCTGCTGACTTGAAACCCTTCCGACCTCGAGCCCCACAGAACAGCCACTGTCCTCCGCGCCTTCGGATGGGTGGTGGCCCACGTTCCAGTCCTCCCAGTGTGAGCACCTTTCATCTCCTCCCGTCATGGTGTCCTGCCCCCTCCCCCCCACTCCCTCATCTGCGGGGCTCTTCCCGGCCTATGCCTCTCTCCTGGTGTGAGGCCCGTGCCCAGGGCACTGGCGAGGTCAGTGGTGGCCCTTGAAGCGAAGGCCCCTGGCCCTGAGTTAGGGACCTGGGAGAGGGGATCAGGGCATAGTGTCCCCTGAGACAACATCAGCCAGAAACGGAGGCACAGGGACTCCTGGTGCAGGCTTACCCTTGGCCCCTCGGCGCCTGGCAGGACAACGGCTCCCAGATGCCTCCCCTCTGGTACCAAACACAGTCACAGCCTGGTCATCCCTGGTGACTAACAGGCCTCGGNCGGCGCCTGGCAGGACAACGGCTCCCAGATGCCTCCCCTCTGGTACCAAACACAGTCACAGCCTGGTCATCCCTGGTGACTAACAGGCCTCGGCCTGGAGTATGGGTGCTGGGTGAGGCATCCAGGCCCTCATGGGTTGGGTTCAGTGGCAGCTCCCGAGAGAGCCCTCTCTCTGGGCCTGGCAAGGGGGTAAGCCCTTCACAGGTGTTACCATTTTTCACCCAGCGAGGCAGGTGACCCGCCCAGGGTCACACAGTCGGAGTGGCCAGTTGGATCGGGAGGCCCCTGGGCGGGGCTCGCACAGGTGAATGACCTGCATCCTGAGGGGCACCGCCTGCCTTTGCTCCGGGGCCTCTGCACAGGGGCACAGGGCACAGGGCTGTTTACCCGGCCGCTCCCTGCGCACCTGCCAGGAGGGTCATCTGACGGAGACCTGGCCCCCGGGTGTGTGCACTGCAACAGGCTCTCCAGTGGCCCCTGTGAGGGGGGTGTCCTGGCCCCAGGTCAGAGCAGCTCAGGAGGGCCAGAGGCCCCTGGAAATGCTGAGGATTTGCTCTTCCAGAATGTTCTCTTGGGCTTTTATTGTGATTGTTTCTGGCATCTCTGAGGCACTCCCGGGAGGGGCTGCAGCCGGCCGAGGTGGGGGCTTTTTCTGACACTGGGGCAGCCGGTCTCCCTCCTCGTTTCCCTCATCCTGTGGTCACACCCTGCGTGTCCTCAGCTGGCCCCTCTGTTCTCTCCGTCTCCGTGTGCATCTCAGGAATGAAACTGCCTTCAGCTGCTGAAGCAACAGGTGAATGCTGTCCCTTGTCCCTAAATTGTGCACTTCAGGAGCAGCGCCACTTTGAGCCTGGCCTGTGTCACCTCCGAACAGCATCCTCAAGCCGAGATGTCCTTTTGGACGTTACTCTCTGGTGATCACTCGGGGATTAATCTCCCGGCCACCAGGTTGCTAGGCTGGTTGCTAGGTAACTGCTGACGGGGGACAGTGCTTCCCAAGACTCAGCCACTCTGGGATTGCAGGACACGGCCCCCAGCGGCGGGCAGCTGTCGAGGCTTCCGTGTCAGCCAGAAAAGCGTTGTTTCATAAATTGGAGGTGTATTTTTGCCCAGAATAAACATTTTTTCCATTGCTTTTCAGAGGGAATGGAAGTGAGAACAGACACAGAAACATCGATGTGAAAGAGACACATCGATTGGTTGCCTCCCACAGCTCCCTGACCAGGGCCGGGGATCCGCCTGCAACCGAGATACATGGCCTTGGCTGGAATCGAACCTGGGTCCCTTCAGTCCGAAGGGTGATGCTCTAACCACTGACCAAACCAGCCAGGGCCAGAATAAATGTTTTTTGATTGTTCGTCTGCACTTACCCATGCGGACCAGCGTGTTGGGGTGACACTGGGGCTGCTGCTCACCCCTCTCCCGTCCTGGACAATGTGAGGCCATAACGGGGCAGATTGAAGGCGGCCCCGGCAGGGCTCCGCCAGCCCCTTCGTGCTTTGTGGTTGCCGTGAGTGAGGAGCTGCTGACACCCCGAGGTCCCCACGCCCTCATTCTCTGAGTGACGGGGCTGGGTGAGCAACCCCCCTGCCCCCCGCCTTGTCACCTTCTGGGCTTCCATGAGATTCTGAGGTTGGCCTTGTGTGAATGTTTTTCACGGTCAGCACAGAGCAGGAGAATGTTCTAGAAGGAGAGACCACGCTGGTGCACATGGTCCCTGTTGTTGGCCCTCGACGGGGACCCTATGCACCCTTTGGTCTGGGTGGTTCGCATCTTTTCCTCACGTCCTCAGTGACCTTGAGCACGCTCTCGGGTAATGCAGGTGTGTTCAAGACGCATCTCTTAAGTGTTCATGAGCAGTGACAGCATTTTCTGGGCTCTGGTGCCCGGAGCCCCTGGAGGTACAGCTGGACACCCCGAACCTCCGCTGAGCGTCTGCAGGACTCGGCCAGTTCTGAGGGTCAGAGCCCACATTTTCTGGCCCAGCTGTTGAGTAGGGGCTTCATCCAGACAGATGAGTGGGTTGAGCCATCTTGGGAGGGGGTGT